CAGAGAGAGAGAGTACATGGAAACACTCACTTTCACAATACCTGCAAAAAAAATATCTTGGAATAAACCTGACCAAAGACATTAAAGATCTCTATTATTATATTTTTTATTTTTATTTTATGTATATGCGTGTATTGCCTGCACATAGGTAAGTGCAACCTTGTCGTGCAATGCCCGTGGAGGTCAGAAGAGGCTGTCGGATCCCCTGGGACTGGAGTTTCGGACAGCTGTTAGCTGTCAGCTGCCATGTGGGTGCTGGGATTTGAACCCGGGTCTTCTGCAAGAACAACCAGTGTTCTTAACTGCTGAGCCATCTCTCCAGCCCAAAATTTTATTATTTTAAGTGCTTGCTTTTAGGTCTTTGATTACATATCTATCCTTATAGCATGGTCCATGCTGTTTGATTACTATAGATACTGGAGATTCATTACTGAATAAGAACATTGTGTTTGCCCTCATGTAACGCTATAGATTAGGAAAGACGTTAAGAAAAATTAACTTGGGCTGGAGAGATGGCTCAGTTAAGAGCATTGGCTACTTTTGCAGAGAACTCAGGTTCCATTCCCAGGACCCACATGGCAGCTAACAACTATCAGTCCTTGGGCACTGCACACATGTGTTGCACTTACATATATGCCGTCAAAACACTTGAATACATAAGTTTAAAAAAGAAAAAATTAACTTGCAAATAATCATATAATACAATTGATAAGTTCTATGAAGACAAATGTAGTCTGCAGTATGTGTGATGTGCATGCATGGCAGCATACTGCCTCCTGAGTGCTGGGATTAAAGGCATGCACTACCATGCCTGACTATAGTTAATATTTTAGTATAAAAGTTGAATAATTTCTTTTTCCCATGCTAAATTGATGTTTGATGGTTTGATTTTCAGATTCGTTACATTTCTCAAACACAAGGCTTGCCAGCTGAATATCTTCTCAGTGCCGGAACAAAAACAACCAGGTTTTTCAACAGAGATCCTAATTTGGGGTATCCACTGTGGAGGCTCAAGGTCTGTCTTCCCTATTGCACTGCCCATTTCTGTGCTCTTTACCTCAGTTTTGAATTGAAATTTTAGTTAATAGTTTCTTGATTTGGAAGGGGGAAAGCCGTGGAGGGAGCTGGTTTGCAGGAGGAAACTACTGAACAATTATTTCATTGTATCCATTTAGCCTTATTTATGGGTAAAAATCAAGGTAATTATCAATTCAGTTGACTGAGGTTATTTTGCATATTTAGAATTAGCAGTTGAGGGGAATGAGAATGGTATGAGAAACTAGACAAATTTAGTAATGACTGTTACAGAGAAACCTCATTGAACATGATAAAGGCAACCTAATTTTCTAACTTCCCACATTAAGGTCTTAGAGAGTTTCTTGAAATAATTATCTGTTTTTTGTTGGGTTTTTTTTTTTTTTTTTTGCTTCTGAGCCTACTCCTTCAATTTGAGAAATCTGAGTAATGTGATTTAATTCCATCATGATACTTTGCCTCTGAGCCTATTAAAGTTAGTTAGGTTTCAGTTATTTCCAAGTAGCTTTGAGAGGAAAATGATAGCAACCCGTTCTCCTAACCTTCCTGGGACACTGCTACATCACTTCTTGCAGGCCTCATTGCCAGAAAAGGATGGCCAGATAGCAGAGTCACATATCTCCATGGGGAGATTTTTGGGTTGTCATCTATGCCATGTGTGGTTGGCAAGGTGACAGCATTTGTCTCTTTGTTTTTCTAGCTTTACTGTAGAATAAAATGTGAAAATAATGTATCATGGAGTTTTTTTTTTTAATCCGTATTTTATAGACACCTGAAGAACATGAATTGGAGACTGGAATAAAGTCAAAAGAAGCTCGGAAATACATTTTTAACTGTCTAGATGACATGGCTCAGGTAAAGATGGCATGTTTCAGAAAGTCAGGCATTTATATGGTTCTTTAGTCAGAGACATCTTTCTGTCGATTACACTTAACACAGATTTTTAAATGATGTCTTTACTATTTCCAAGTTTTTACAGAAAAAATATTAATATTCTGCCATGTATTAAAATAACATCTGAATCCTAACAATCGGTACTTTTAAGATTATTGATTGAGCTTCCATAGTCCAAATATACAAAATTAAAAATGTTCTCAAATCCAAAATTCTTGGAGCATGATACTGATACTCAGCTCAGATTTTGGAGTGTTTCAGAGTTTGGGATTTTGGGGTCAGGGTGAAAGTCTGTGCAAATATTCCAAAATCTAAAAGGTCTGAAATTTGAAAAACTTCTGGTCCCAAACATTTTGAATAAAAGATAGTCAACTTGTGTGTATTTCTTCTTGCTTTTGCTCAACTGGTCCTGATACATATCATTATTTTAAGTTTTTTTTTAAAAAATTTTTATTTTATGTGTATGAATATTTTGTCTACCTACATATAAGTGTACCATGTGTGCAGTGCCTACAGAGGCAAGAAGACAGTGTTGGATTCCCTGTTGGATTGTTGTTAGTTGCCATGTGGGTGCTGGGAACTGAATTGGGTCTCTACCAGTGCTTTTAACTGCTGAACCATCTCTCTAGCTCCTTTTATTTTAAAGTATTTAAAAAATATGTTTATTTTTATTTTTTGTGATGAGTGCCTGCATGTATGTGAGTGTACCCATATCGTGCAGCGCCCGAGAAGATCACAACAGGGTGTCTGATCCCCTGGAACTGGAGTTATGGAGGTTGTTAGCTGCCATGTGGGTGCTGGGATTTGAACCTGAGTCCTCAGCAAGAGCAACTAGTGCTCTTAACCACTGAGCCATCTCTCCAGCCCTATTTTATTTTATTTTTATTTTTATTTATTTCTATTTTATGTGTATGAGTGTATTGCCTGCATGTATGTGAGTGCACCTGTGTCATGCAATGCCGCAGAGGTCAGAAGAGGGCTTAAGATTCCCCTAGAACTGGAGTTAAGGATGGTTCGTAGCTGCCACGTGGGTGCTGGGAATGGAACCCGGATCCTCTGCAAGAGCAGTCAGTGCTCTTAACTGTTGAGCCATCTCTCCAGCCCTGCAGCCCTATTTTAAAGTATTTTTTTAAATAAATATTTCTTTCTTGCTCCATTTTTTCTACTAAGTAATTAATTGCACAAGAACCACATTTATTGAGAATGCTTATGTTCCAAATTGTATTTAAACATTTGGCATCATGTCATTTAATCTTTTCAACAATAGAAACTTGTATATTTAAATGATAATAAATACTTTTTCCTAACTTGTTTCAATTTTTAAAAAAATATTATTTTTATTTATTTTATGTGTATAAGTATATTGCCTACATGTACGTAAGTGCACCTGTGTCATGCAAAGCCCTCAGAAATCAGAAGAAGCATCAGATTCCCTGGAACTGGAATTTCAGAATGGTGGTTGTTAGCCACCATGTAGGTGCTGGGAACTGAACCAGGGTCCTCTGCAAGAGCAGCCAGTGCTCTTAACCACTGAGCCATCTCTCCAGCCCCTTGTTTCAAAATTTTAATGCCAAGAATTAATTCAGCTCTGCTGTACTAGGTAGGCAAGATAAGAATTTCATCTTGTGAAAACTATTCTGTAATAAATTTCATTTCCTATGTTTCCCATTCTCAAATACTAACACTAAATACCTGCTTTATCTCTTTTGGAAAGATGCAGACTTAGTAAGTCTTTGATCTACTGTTTAACTTGGTTTTGGTGTTGTTTGTTTGTTTGTTTGTTTGTTTTTTGAGGTAGGGTTTCACCTTGTAGCTCTGGATAGCCTGGAAGTTACAGAGATCCACCTACCTCTGTTTCCAAGTGCTGGCATTAAAGGGCTGTACTACTTCGCCCCACTATCTACTGTTTAACCTAAGTGGAGAAAGTAATATTTCTAAATTTTCTTTGGAAGGTAAATATGTCTACAGACCTGGAGGGAACAGACATGTTGGCAGAGAAGGCAGATAGAAGAGAATACATTGATCTGTTAAAGAAAATGCTGACAATTGATGCAGATAAGAGAATCACTCCTTTGAAAACTCTTAACCATCAGTTTGTGACAATGACTCACCTTCTGGATTTTCCACATAGTAATCAGTGAGTATGGTATTGGGTTTTTCCATGATGTGATTTTTGGTTGAGTTGACATCTTATAAAGGGAACTAACTGTCAAGTTAGCAGTAACTTTGGTGCTTGTATGTCTGGCTTACTGATGCTTTTTCTTCTGACTGAAAAGCCATAAGATTTAAAATCAGGTGTGTATTTATCCTTTTGTTACTATAAAAACCCTTTATTCTTTTTTTTTCTGAAACTACTTGGAAAAATAATTTATTCCATGTTCATCTTGAGTATTTACTGTTTAAATTTTAGCGTTCATTTCGTGAATTTTTAATCTCTTTTTCAGTGTTAAGTCTTGTTTCCAGAACATGGAGATCTGCAAGCGGAGGGTTCACATGTATGACACAGTGAGTCAGATCAAGAGTCCCTTTACTACACATGTTGCTCCAAATACAAGCACAAATCTAACCATGAGCTTCAGCAACCAGCTCAACACAGTGCACAATCAGGTACTCAGTGAATGATTTTGGAAACTCAAGCCTAAGTGGGACAGAAAGTAGTAAGATGAAGAAACCAGTCCTTGTTTTAGTATTTTTTTTTGCATCTTAAGCATTTTGTGCTTGAGGGCCATGACTAAAAGTACTTATTGCATAAACTAATGAGTTCAGTCTTGGGAACCCATGATGGAAGAAGAGACTCCCAAAGGTTGTCCTCTGACTTCTACACATGTGCCATGGCATGTACATGCCCACATTGACACAGATCATACACACATACACATGCAATAATAATGAAGATTCAATTCTGAGGTTCAATTTCATGTACCAAAAAAGAAACAAAACCAACCAAACAAAAAAACCAAAAATTTTTCTATTTGGTAAAAGTAACAGACCAGTGGCTGGAGACGTGATGGCTCAGCAGTTAAGAGCACTGGTTACTATTGCAGAAGACCCGAGTTCAAATCCCAGCACCCACCTGGTGACTAACAACCATCCATAACTCCAGTTCCAGGGGATCCAGTTCCCTCTTCTGACCTCCATGGGCACTGTACAACATTGGTGCACTTACACACATGCAGGCATAACACTCATACACATAAAATAAAAATAAAGTTTAAAAAAGTAATAGACCAGTTTGACTGACATACCTACTTGTCACATGCTTAGAGAATTTAAATATAAGGCCTACTCCATGCCCTCATAAGTCTTAGTGTAAATGGGCTCTGACTATTGAATTACTTGCTGCAGCTAGTTTTACTATGTTCAACTAAATAACTCCTTATTAGAATTTTACTTATTGAAGGGTTATTTGAATAATTATCTTAAAGGATGTTGTTGTGTTTGCTTGCTAACAAGTGATATTTACATTTGTTTCTGAAGATGTAAGCTACCCAGTTTCTCAGTTTGATCTACTTTTTAAATGGAAGAGTTTATGAATTCATGTGAAATCTCCTATGAAGCAATTTTTGTGCAGAACTGAAGGTTTATATGATTAAAACCAGTATAGCAGCAAAAAAAATAACCATTTGTTCGTTTTATTTTTGAGACAGGATCTCACTGTATAGCCCTAGCTGGCCTGGAACTCAGGTCTACCTGCTTCTGCCTCCAGAGTGCTGGGATTAAAGACATGTACCATCGTGCCTGGCTCCATTTGTTATTCTTCATGTGCTTATTCAACTTTATAGTATTTCTTAGTTAAAAATTTTTTTGAACCTTGAGCCCCTTGTTTGCTAGATAAGTACTCTATTACTGAGCTATGTGTTCCTAGCCCTGGAAAGTTTAAGTAGAAAGTTATTTTAGAGATAGTTAATGTCACATTTTAAAATTATGTTCTAGGCTGGGTTGTGGTGGCACATGCCTTTAATCCCAGCACTTGGGAGACAGAAAGAGGTGCATCTCTCTGAAATCAAGGCTAGCCTGGTCTACATAGTGAATTTCAGGCCAGCCGGTCTAAAGGGAGACCCTGTCTCAAGAAACCAAAAAACAAAAAACAAAAAAAACCAAAAAAACCCAAAAACCTAGCTTTGTTCTAAGATGGCTTAGTGGGTAAGGATGCTTGCTGCTAAGCTACATAATGAATTTGAGGCCAGCCTGGGCTATATGAGACCCAGTCTCAATTTTTTTTTTCTGTGTAGAATATGTGTATATGTTTTCCTCCATACTATACAGCATGTAAACGTAGCCTTTTTATTTTTAGGCCAGTGTTCTAGCTTCCAGTTCTACTGCAGCAGCTGCTACTCTTTCTCTGGCTAACTCGGACGTCTCCCTACTGAACTACCAGTCGGCCCTGTACCCCTCGTCTGCAGCACCAGTTCCTGGAGTTGCCCAGCAGAGTGTTTCCTTACAACCTGGAACCACTCAGATTTGCACTCAGACAGATCCATTCCAACAAACATTTATAGTATGTCCACCTGCTTTTCAAAGTAAGTGGGAAGCTCCTCTATCATGTAGTGTTAATTAGACTTGCCTACTTTAGGCAGATCTAGTTGTTCACTTTAGATCTTTGACAAATTTAAACTTTGATGATGAAGGTAACTGAAATTGGGATATATTACAAAGTAAATCTACTTTTACATTACTCATTTCTTTAATTATACTACTACCTGACAGATTAGAGGAGTTCAGTTTGTTTCCTTAACTTAATTGCCTGATGTTTTTTGCCCATTGAGGCAAAATATCATTTATCTTATATAAGTGTATACATCTCAATATGTAGAATACATACATCTTTAAAAATTGTTAAAATCAGAATTGTTATATATTGAATCTAATTTCCTGTATAATTCTATTTTAAACTAAAATAAAAGGTTATTATAGGATATAAACATTATATTTAAGAATGTAGAAACCTTTTAAATTTAATTCAGTAATAAGGATCAATTATTGAACTAAAAAGTTGAACAAGCAGAGGTACTTTTGTGGGAAAGGCATTAATATCTGCTTCTGCTTGTGAGTCATATTCCTACAAACTCCTGTCAAATAGCTGAAAACAGGCCAACTCCATGTTCCCATAAGACCTTAATTTTCACTTTCCTGTGCTTCTTTATTTTCTCATTGTTTTGTGATCCAGTCCATTCTGTTCAGTTACTTTTTTTCTGAAATATGGGACATGTTTGTTGATTGATTTTCTAAGCCATGTAGAAGATTAAATTATTTTATGAATATCATCTGACAACACACTTGGCTTTTCCAGTAGAAAGTCAATGTCAGACCAGGTGTAATAGCTTACACCTGCAATCCCAGCAGGAGACTCTTGAGGCCAGTAGGTTACATACAGTGAGAACCTGTTCCCCCTCCTACCCCCAGGAAATGTAAAAATAAGAAAGAAGCCAGACTTAGAATGATAAATATCACATTTTTCTTATATGTGGATGTATATGTGTGTGTATAAAACTAGAAAGGGGATCATGGCAGGGAGGCAGAGATATTAAGGGAGGTGGGAAATCAAGAGGGTAATGGGTACATATAATAGTAAAGCAGAAATGCAGGTTAACTGGAGTAAAAAGCTGCAGGAGGGAGCGGGGAGGAAGACAGTAGGAGAGGGGGATGAATGAGAACAAAGTATCATGACTATATGTCTGAAGATGCCATAATGGAACCCATTTCTCTATGTGTAAACCTAATAAAACACTAATTTTGGAAAGAAAAAAAAGAAAAAGCAATTTGGTATTAGTGTGATTAGTGTGGGAATAAACCGATTCAGACTTCTCATAGCCTTTTTATATAGAAGCAGATAGCATTTTTATTTTCCTACTTTAGTTACTTATTGATTGCGACTCTTTTGTTTGTTTGGTTTCTGACAGAGTCGGAGCAAGCGGAAGGAAATGAGGGGCTGGGGGAGACTGAGAGATTACCAGGAGGACAGGAAAGTGATAGCCATGTAAACCAGGGAGAGACCACAGGGAGAGCAGAGGAGCAGATTCCAAATCCATAAATGAAAACTTAGCCTAACTTACCAAATTACTTTCTGCATATGCTTCATAATAGTGAATTCTGTACTTTGGGTTGTCACATTTGTACTGAATGATTCTTCTACTGAATGTAGCAAATTAGCCATCCCTTCCCCTACCTTTTCCAAAGTGAGTTTCATTGGAGTAGTTTTCAAATGTGAGATCCGGAGATTTTCTGCTGCTTCTCAGATGATGCTTAGATAAAACAAAAGAACCTTTGAGTAACTTTAATAGAACAAAATGTAAGCTGAAGAGGTGGGGGGGAAAGTGGGAGAGCCCCTTTTGTTATAAATATAAACTTTGGAAAATTTTATTCTTGTCTAAGAAGTCCAGATAACCTGAGGAGCTAATAGAGTGAATTTTAAATTTTTTGAATGAGAGGGAATTTAAAATTAAAGTAGTGATGATGATAGTCAAGTATATTAGTATATATGCCAGATAGTGTTTTAAGTCCTTTTACATGCATTACTTTATTCTTAACAGACATCCCTAGGAAATGGGTAGCATTTTTAAATGATGAAATCGTCTTTATTTTTGTTCCTTTTGAGTCAGGGTCTCCCTGTAACCCCAGCTGGCCTGGAACTCACTGTGTAGACCAGGCTACCTTGAACTCACAGAGATAGATCCTCCTGCCTCTGCCTCCCGAGCACTAGGATTAAAGGTGTGTGCCACTACACCCAGCTTAAATGATAAAATTTTCTTATGCCCAAAATATTATGAGTATTTATGGCATAACACTGATTCGAACCCAGGCAGTGGGTTCTCACACATGTATATGGAGTTATTCTGTACTGCCTTTCAGTGTTAGGCTCAGATTGATGTGTGAAGATTATTGACTGACTTGCCACCCTTAGCCATGTGTTGATTTCTGCCTAGCAGTCCTCTATTCTAAGTCATCCACTGTTCTTTCTTCTTTTACAAGATGCCTGTATCAGTTAAGCAGTTTGACTCTTCTTTCTATCTTTCCATGGTTCTCTATATTTAAAAATGCTATGTTCAGGAATAATAAAAAACAAGCTCCAGTACTTTTAGGTCAGGTTTCAAAGCCAGCCAAATGATTGCCTATTGTCATTCTTTGTTTTTACTTGTAGTGGAGGAAGCAGCTAGTTCTAAAGTAGCCAAACTGCTGTGGCTTAGCCTAAATAACTGCAGCAGTCTAAAGTGTCACATTTATAGGTCACTACTATAAACTGCTTTCCATACTATTCCAGTTGACTAAAATAGATACACATTTTGCTCAGTGGTGACTATTCTGAGCTACTGTAATGAACATTTCTTCCTAAAGTTTGCCTCCTTGGTGCCTACCGATTTGTAAGAGGCTGTTACAACATTGTCTTGAAATTAGCCATGTGTCCTGAGACTGTAGACAAGAATTTTACATTGCTTAGCTTTCTTATTAGATAACATTGCTTAAGGCATTTTTAATCTTAATATCTGAGTTTGTTAGTTTTAAGTTTTACATAAGTAGTACTTTTTCGTATGTTTGTTTGAAACAGAGTCTCCCTGTAGACCAGGCTGGCCTTGAACTCACAGAGACCCACCTGCCTCTGCCTCCCAAGTGCTGGGACTATAGGCATGCGCCACCATGCCCAGCATAACACTTTTTTTTTTTTTTAAGGCATCTTTAAAAAAAAAAGTTGTTGAATTTTTGTATATTTCATACATAAAATCATCTTTATACCTCCTTCTCCTTTCCCCTTTGGCACCCTCCCATTGGCACCCCCACCCTGCCACTGGAGTTCATACATTCTGTCATTTGTATTAAGGCCTATTATGTAGAGTTAATGTCCCAAAATGTCCCTCAGTTCAAGTTTATCCACCAGGGTTTAGTCAGCCTATCTAGAGTCTCTCTTTAAGAAGATCAGTTCTTCCTCAGCCAGCAGTAATTAATCAGCTGCCAATAATTCTTTGCCTAAGATCGGGGATTGCTGTTCATTTCCACAGTTCTGTGCTAGGTTCTTGTCAGCCTAAGTTTGCATGGTTCTTGTGCATGCTGACACCATTGCTGTAGGTTTGTATGAGAAGGGTCCCTGGCACCTGTAGGACTATTCCATATGGTCATGTACCTCCTCCCAGGCTCTTAAAATCTTTCCACCCCCTCTTCCATGATTGTTCCTGAGTATCAGGTGGTGTGTGGACCACAAGATAGGAGACCTGTCCAAGGACCCACACTCTGTTGACTCTCATTCTCTGTGTTTTGATCATTTGTGACCTTTTGTGTTCCTGGTGCTCTGGTGCATGAGGGAGCTTCACTGATGAGAACTGAAAGATGCATTAGTGTTTTCTTCGGTCTTTGTTCTATGTTCTGTGAGTCTTAGGTATAGAGGTGGTTCAACCCCAGCTTCAAGGCCTAAAAACCACACCAGTGACCAGCACAGCAAATGACATTGGTGCAGCAGTGGCACTTTTATCTTCAGGGTAATCAACAGCTACCTAATTGGACTTAAAGCCCACTCAGTGGGAGGAATCTCATGTCTGGTACTGTAAACCTAGCCAAATATACATATTTGGAGTGGTCATAGATCGTAGAGAAAACCCAAGGCTCTCATATCCCTAGACAAATGTAATTTCTTACTATGTGCAAACTATGGATCCTTAAAGTATAGACAAGTATCCCAGTCACCACCCATCAAAGTAGCTTTTTTTTTTTTTTTAACAGACAGATTATTACAGAGTTACACCACTGGTCACACACAGAGATTCTCTGTGAATTGCCCAACCCTAAGTGGCACATTTAAAAAGGCATCTAAGTTGTTTGAATACTGATTTTACTTGTCACTCTTTGTACATTTCTAGAATTCATTTTTCATTTTTCTTAATGACAGCTTATTTCTAAATTGTTCACAAATTACTAAAATAGAAAATTAGAAGACTGACTAAAATTAGCAGTATTATTTTTTATAAGTTATCTCACTTGACACCTGTATCGTAATATTAAGAGAAAATAAGCCAGGGATAGTGGCACATATGTAATCCTAGCACTTGGGAAATTAAAGTAGAAGAATCACAAGTTTGTAACCAGTCCAGATTACACAATAAGACATTTTTGGGAAAGAGGGAGGGAGAGGGAGAAAGAGAGAGACAGAAAGATTGAGATTGGTGACAGTTTAGAAAATGTCAGCGATGTTGGGCATGATGGCATGAACCTTTAATCCCAGCAGAGGCAGGTGGATCTCTGTGAGTTTGAGGCCAGCCTAGTTGACATAGCAAGTTCTAAGTCTGCTGTGTTACACAGTGAGAGCCTGTCTCAAAAAAAAAAAAAAAAAAAAAACAGCCCAGTGTGGTGGCATACCTTCAATTGTAGCACTCGGGAGTTAGAGACCAGTGGAAGCCACCCTGGTTTATATAGTGCATTCCAGGCTACCCTGGGCTACAGGAAGACCCTGCCTAAAACAACAACAACAACAAAAACAAAACAAAAAAACCCCAACAACAACAAAAAAAACAACCAAACATGTTAGTGGCGAGTCTTCTAATTAAAATGCTTGTAACCCCATTTAACAGAATTGTGGGCATTAGTGGATTGGAGGCATAACAGAAATTTAAACTCTGTAGTGAATGTTCTGATAAGGGTAGGCTTAAAAAAAAAATCTTTGAGTGTTCTTAAATCTTGGCAAAAAGAACGAACTGTGTTGAGCCTCTCTTTTTTCCAGAATGAGATATTGCTAGTTAGAAGAAACATTTATTCAACATTTATGCTAAGAATATAATAAACAAAAGATAAGTAAGACATGGTCACTGTTTTAAAGGCAGCAAAGAGTTCTTCATTTTTCTAGCTATCTTTTAACTTCAGAAGAGTCGGATTGGGAAACGACCAACAAGAGCTGATTTCCAGAATAAGAAATAGAGTTTTTGTAATGCAACATGTCTATGTTCCAAATATCTAGGCAAAGTTTCTTCATTTTTTGTTGGCTAAAGATAAAACATACACTAATTTTGGAGCTGGGCTTTCTTTTTTGAGGAGGAAAAGCACCCTTTAAGACATTTTAAACAAAAGAGTAACTTAGATTATAAGTTACCAAGTTATAGTTATATTTAGTTCTCTGTTTTTAATAAACTGTAGTTTTAAAAGCACTTCCACCCCTCCTGCCCCCAGTAAATTAAAATGTAAATGTGACTTATTAAGTGACTGTTATTTGGTTTTTGCCTATATTGAAGATGGGATAGTATTATAACATTAAAGAAACTTATATTCCCTTAAACCAGCCTTCCCTGTATTCAGTACTTGTGCATTAATCTAACTTTAAAAGACTGAAGTCTCCCTTTTCTTAACTCTGAAGACTTCTATGAATGAAACACCTTTGTCTTAAGTATATTGAACTAAAAGCTGAGTATTGAAAAAGCTAAAAATAACCTCTCCCAAACAAAACAAAGCAGTACTCTCAGGCTCAGCAAAGCAATTTACTATGATGCTGTTTCCACCAGCTGGGCTACAAGCAACAACAAAACATTCTGGATTCCCTGTGAGGATGGATAATGCTGTGCCGATTGTACCCCAGGCGCCGGCTGCTCAGCCACTACAGATACAGTCAGGAGTCCTTACACAGGTAAAAGCCAGAACCACATGGATACTCAATATTGCTGAAGCACTATTGAGAATAAGATATTTTGTCCTGAAAAAGTGGTATTTGCTTTGATTATAAGATCTTTCTTGCTCATGATTCAGAGGTCTTAAAACAAAACATCTAGCCTGGCATGGTGGCACACACCTTTAATCTCAGCACTTGGGAGGTGGAGGCAGGCAGATATCTGTGAGGTTGAGGCAGCCTCGTCTACATAGTGAGTTCCAGACCAGCTGGGGCTACAGGGAGACTCTGTCTCAACAAAACAAAACAAAATATCTATAATAGAACAGTATATAGTCTTACCATTACAACTTTTCCTCAGAGTTGTAGGAATGATTATCCAGACATTGAGAAATGATTAAGATACGGCATATACACACCTTTTTTTATTGTAAAACATAAGGTTTCATTCATTCTTACCTCCCCAGTATCCTTTTTGCTTACTGTTTAGAGTTTATCGCAGTTGAGAGGCTAAATCACATCATGATACCTCCCTTAAATATTATATTCCTTTATTCCTTGTCTTTAACCAGGCTGTAGAAAAATTTAAATGTGTTTGTTAGATAACTGAGAAACTAAGATCATAGAGAAAACCATGAAGGATTTATATGGTACCAAATACTACATTTTAAATTCTATATATAAATGTTTGTTGCCCATGACACAGGAAATTCTGAAATATCTTTGTCTTGTAGAACAGAACCTCTGAATCTGACTCAGGAAAGATTCCTATTTATTTTTCTGGTGCCATTGACATTTGCCCTAGCGGGCCAGAGCTGTACAGAACTGAAAGAGAAAGCTGTGTTTGAATTTTAGGTGCGTTTTAGGTGATAGGAAATTAGTTCATTGTCAGTAATATCGTGGGGGGATGAGAATCCTTCTGAATCCAGATAACCTGCCTTGGTGTTTATTTCACTCACCTGCCTAATCTACATTTCAGGGAAGCTGTACACCACTAATGGTAGCAACTCTCCACCCTCAAGTAGCCACCATCACACCGCAGTATGCGGTACCCTTTACCCTGAGCTGCGCAGCCGGCCGGCCGGCGCTGGTTGAACAGACTGCTGCTGTACTGGTAATTCCCCTCACTTGATTGTGTTACTAACGAAGTTTCTTTGGTTTCTTTCTTTTTTATTTTTTCCTGTTTGTTTTTGTTCTGTTCTGATTTTCTCATTTAAAAAAAAAATTTGAGCTTAGTCTCTGCGGAGGGCATGGAAGCATGTGCCATCTTGTGGCTGTGTTCTTGCTGCATCTTTAATGTTTCATTGCTTTCTTCCCCAACATTTGCTGAAGCACTATTTGATTCTGAGGTTCAGTGTGGCCCTGTAAGGAGCCAGATCCCCTGATTTTTTTCTTTGCCAGCCTAGTGTGGTTAAAGCTCTTGGTATAGCCTCAGGGGAGCTTCAACACTATTACCTGTTCTCTGCCCTCTTTGACCCTTGATCCTTGAGAATGAAGGAAATGGCCTTTAGTTTGGCCCTGCTACCGGTATCCAGATGGTCAAAATTTGAACTCCTTGTCAAGTTAGCTTCCTTTTTTTGTTACTATCTTAATATTCTAAAACTTTTGGGGCATATAGAAATGCTTGATGATCTTAATTTGTTGCTGTATCAGTTAACTTTAACTTCCTTCTGTGAATACATAAGGATAGCTCTTTTGGCACTCATGATCAGTGGCAGCTTTTATCTTCCATTTAAAGATATTCTCTTTAGAATATATTTAAAAACCATATTGATTGAAATTAAAGGTGAGCTCATACCTAGGGATTTTTTTTTAGCAATAAATCTTAATACAAAGATAGAAATATGGCTGACAAATTTGCAAATGCAATCTTTGTTATTAAATGTTATAGGGCAAAAGTCATTGATGATAGCTGCACGTATAGTTGTATCCGGATGAGAGATGGAAAAACAAATGAGACTTTGAAGTGTATTTCAGGATTTGTAAACTTCAGGGTGATTTTTGGATACGTTATGGCTTATTTGGGTGAGTTAGAATTGTTTATTTCATACCCAGCATTTTGTTAATTGAAATTTAAAGTTAGGTAAGCCTTTGCAAATGTAATTGATACTATTAAATCCTGATATTTCTCATTTTTCACAGTGGATTTAAATTTCTTTTGTTACCTCTTAAGTAATCATAAATGAAAACACTTCCAGAAACATACTTGGATGATTTCAGTTTGGTTTCAGTTAAAAGTCTTTGCCACCTCTGGATTAACTTTCTCATAAGCATAAAAACAGAGTGCTAGGGAGTCAGATATATTTGCAGCTTGGTTGACCTAAGCCACTGGTTTTAACTTGCTCATCTATTGTTTTGAGGTTGGAAATGTCAGTTGACACTTTGCCTTTGCTGCTTTTTTTAAGTTTGCTCTAGCCATTTGCTAAGCTTTGCATATTTTTGTTCTTCCTCTGTCTTAAACAGTTCGTCGCTTGGAGCGCCAGATTTCTGCCTCACGTTGGAATGTTATTTCTTGCTTTGTATTAAACTACATGCTTTGTCTTGTGCAGGTGTTGGCTTATGGAAAGATCGCATGGTGTGACTTAACATACTTCTCTTATTTTCTGTTTTTGTTTTGTTTTGTTTTAAATTCTGCATATGGTTGCAGACGTGTTTGCAGTTTCTCTGCTTTTAAGGGTTCTTGTTTGGAACCAGTCTCTGTAACAAGTGGATCTGTTACTTGCAGAAATATTTTTAAAACAGTGTGTTGATGGCCCTGCAGTTTGGAATTCAGGAAACAGAACCATATGTACCTAGTAAGGTAGTTGTAATGCCATTCAAGTTTAAAAAGGAAACTTCCAAATCTGTTCCCATTTTTTTTTTCAGAAAATGCCAGTTTCTGTAAGAAGTACAGAAATCGTAATTTATTGCTCAGTGTATTGCAAATGTCATAGTTTCTTAACAACTAGAAGTGATGTATTTCCTTGTAGTAATGATTTTTTTATGTTGAAGTGTTTCTACAAATGATACTAAAAACAAATGTTTTTTAGCAACTGATAAAAGCAATGTAGTGCTTTTTAATATTTTTCAAAAATTTCGCTTACTAACTTTATTTAATTCTATCATATGACCATAAATGATGGTATTAGCTGTTTTCCTGGTGTGCTGAAGGATTTGGTGTTTGGTCATCCATGGCTGCTCCATTTTCTAAATTTTGCCCTTTTAATAAAGAGAACAAGTCTTCCCTGTGTTTTATGGGTTGAATTGACTTAACCTTCTTATCTGATTGGCACTCAAATTTTAGAATTTCTATTCCTTTAAATCCTAAGAGATTCCTCTTAATTCCTTTTAGGGGTGTATTTTACAAGTTTTGGGGGAAAAAAAATGATACTGTTATTTAACCAGAGTTTACCTGAATTTTCAGGTTCGTTTTCTCTACAGTATAGAAACACTTGCCAGGGACCTTTGTTTCTTAGTATCCTGGTGGTCAGATTATGGCAATAGCCAAAGGAAAGCAGTTTCCTTCTTTCCCTTTCCATAACACTTGCATCAATGAATCCTCTGACCTTTCTTTTTTAATCTCTGCAAGTTAACAATCTACAAGTAATTTTTTTAAGATACAAAATTTTCTTTCATCTGAAAAAACAGAAAAAAAAAAAAAAAACACCCCAAGAATGAATCAAGTCTGGATCTTTTTGTGTGTTTCCTTATAGCAAGCATGGCCTGGAGGAACTCAACAAATTCTCCTGCCCTCGACTTGGCAACAGTTGCCTGGGGTAGCTCTACACAACTCTGTCCAGCCTACAGCGGTGATTCCAGAGGCCATGGGGAGTGGCCAGCAGCTAGCAGACTGGAGGCAAGCACCCTCTTTTTCTCTCTGGAAAATTTGCAAGGATGGGATCCTTTAGAGTAGGAGTGCTTGATATGAAGAGACTAGAACGAAAGGGAGAATCTGTTTGAAATCCTTTAGGAAAGGGAGTCATAAGAGAAATTGGAGTAGGAAGAATCTAAGGTCAGGAATCATTTACTGTATATTTAAAACAGTCTTAAATGGTTAGAAAGGGCATAGTGAGATCTTAAAGTTTTATAATCTTGGTGATTGAGGGTAGAGATGAAATGTAGCTGTCCTTGGTGGTCTTCATCATTCTGATACTCATTTGGTCCGGAATTTCAAGTGGTTTTGGGAGTTACTCTTCTCTGTTTCTTTCTGTTGGTACAGGAATGCCCATTCTCATGGCAACCAGTACAGCACCATCATGCAGCAGCCCTCCTTGCTGACTAACCATGTGACATTGGCCACTGCTCAGCCTCTGAATGTTGGTGTTGCCCATGTTGTCAGACAACAACAATCTAGTTCCCTCCCTTCAAAGAAGAATAAGCAGTCTGCTCCAGTCTCTTCCAAGTAAGTCTGTGGTAGAGCTGGTGGTTTAAACTGTACCAGTTTGAGAGTTATTTTGTCTAGCATTCAAGTTGTTACAGCACAAAGACTTTGGATATGAAGCAGTGCCTAAGAAAGTAAGCATGGTCTGACCTCTTCATCTGCACACCATGTGTTTCATTCTTTCTGTTGACATTTTAAGTCCAGGCCACCTTTAGGATGTTTTAATTTAAAATTTTTTATTTATTTGTTTTGTTTGTGTGTACGTGTGGAGATGCATATTGCCATGGTGTACATAAGGAGGTCCGAGGACAACAGCAATGTAGGAGTCAGATCACTCATTCTACCACATGGGTTCTGGGGATTGAACTCTGATTATCAGGCTTGGCAGCAAGCACTTTTACCTGCTGAACCATCTTACCAGCCATAATGTTTTAATTTTTCTGATCACTTTACTGAGTGCAATTTAACTTGGGGATAAAGGTGCACAAAAATAAAATTTATTTTGTGTTTTGTTGTCCCTATCTTTGGAAACACTAGGCAGAATAGTTAATTTTTCATTAGAACTTTTATAGTTAAATTTATTAGCTTAATGACTAGGTAAAAAAGAGCCAAAAGGCAAATTAGAAGTAGTCTGTGGAAAAGATGTGTGATTTGGGGAACCAAGAACTGAACAATCTTTCCTTGTAATCTTTTCCTACAGATCCTCTCTGGAAGTTCTCCCTGGGTCCCAAGTTTATTCTCTGGTTGGGAGCAGTCCTCTCCGCACCACGTCTTCATATAATTCCCTAGTCCCTGTACAAGATCAGCATCAGCCAATCATCATTCCAGATACTCCCAGCCCTCCTGTGAGTGTCATCACTATCCGAAGTGACACTGATGAGGAAGAGGACAACAAATATAAGCCCAATAGGTAAGCTAGGTCATGGTCCCAGGCACCATTAGTCTTAGACTGTTGGCTTCAGTATAACCTTGGTCCTTGACTGATGGCTTTACGAAAGTGTAGTTTTGACTAGAAAAACAAAAAGAACAGACAGACAAAAGTAATTCGAAAGCATGGACTTGGGTAAGTCAGTCAACTAACAGTGTACTTCTCATAACTGAGCCTTGTCAAGTTTTCTATAATGTTAATAGGCATGTTCATCAATTAAATCAATCTTTCAGATACATCAGATAGCAATTTTATGTAGAGCTCATAGACTACTCTGACTTAGAATACATATTATACTGTGGTGATCCTTGCCTTCAAGAAGCTTATCCTAAAAACGGAACCATAACAGAAACATATGAAGAACAGTTAATTTGAATGAATAGGTAGATAGATTATTTGAAATTCATAGTCTCTTAATCTGGAAGGCTTCCTTGAGAGAGGTAGAACCCCCTTCTACTTACATGTTCTGAAAGCTGATGAACTTGATATAAGGTTATTTCCTCTTACCCTAGCATCTTAGCCAAGTGTATCAATTACTTTTCTGTTGCTGTGATAGAATACTCTGACAAAAAGCAATGTAGGGAGCTAAGTCTGTTGGTGCACATGGTGGCATTCTGTGAGATTGAGGCCAACCTGGTCTACATACCAAGTTCCAGGCCAGTTGGGGCTACAGGGAGACCCTGTTTCAAAAAACCCAACCAAACAACCACAAAAAAAACAACTCAGGGGTCAAACTATAAAACCTCAAAGCCCATCCCCAGTTACATACTTTTTTCAGCAAGGTTCCATCTCCGAAAGGTTCCTTACCCTTCACAAATATCAACACCAGCTGGGAAGCAAGTATTCAAATACATGAACCCTTTGGGGGACAGTTCTCACTCAAACCATTTAACACCAAGTCTTTACCGAGGCAGTTTACTAAGAGGGAGTGGATAATTTTAAAAGAATTATAATATATACCTTTCTCTTTGTGTGAACAGTTAATGCCTTGATTGATCTGTACTGTGTTCTTCATTGGGCTTTTGGTGTTAGACATAACCTTTTATCTAAGAAGATAGGATTTACATATGAAAGTAAGGGACTTTACATAGTTATAGCTAAATGAAGTTTAAAATTTTATTTTATTATGTATGTGTGTGTACATATGTGTGCATGTATATGTGTGTGCACACACTTATGTTTGAGTACTCGGAGAGGCCAGAAGAGAATCCCTTGGAGCTAGGGTTACAGGGAGTTGTGAATCACTTTGGATGGGTACTGGGAACTGAACTGGGGTCCACTGAAAGGGCAGCAAATATTCTTAACCACTGGGCAGACTCTCCAGTCTGCTAAGGGAGGTTTGAAGGAGCTTAGAAAAATTAGTCAAGAAAGCATTTAGAACTTTTTGACTGTTTGAAAGATGGTGGATTTGCAAGTCAGGTTTTGAAAGTGGTCATTGATTTGGGGAAGAGAAAATGCAATCCTTCTAGTGAGGGAAAATAACACAGTGGTGGCAAAAAAAAAAAAAATTATATGTGCGATATAACCAGCGCAGTTGCTTTGACCAAAGCCAAGCCTATTAAAAAATAATAAGAAGCTAAAGATAGTAAAGTAAGGGTCAGTTAGTGAAGGGATCCTTTTTTAAAAACATAGTGAAACTAGGTATGGTGGTGCACACATGTAATTCCAGTACTTGGGAAGCAGAAGTAAGAGAATTTTGAGTTTCAGGGCAGACTAGGCTACATACAAGACCCTGTTTCAAACAAGCAAACAAACCAAAAACAAAACCTATGGCGAGAAGTTTGATTAAAGATAGTCAGGAACCATTTCAGTCTAGAGAAATGATAAATAAAAATGTAGAAGAATATTATTAAAATAACTGTGAATGAGAGTGGCCCAAGAGGCAATGTGAAGGTAGGTATGGACTCTGAAATCATTCTGTCCTGGGTCTGAGTGCTGTCTTCATCATTTATTCTTTGTATGACTTGGACAAGTTTTTTAACTCTGTCTTAGTTTCCTCATTTTTACAAAATGGGGGTGACAGAACCTACTGTGTAGGATTGGTAGGATTTACTGATTTGTAAATAGAGTGTGAGAATAGTGCCTGGTATATAATAAACATTTCTTCGAAGTTTACTGCTGCAAGTATCATCATCACCATGACTGTCACTGTCATGTTAGAAGAACCACAAATCATGGAAGACACATTGCTTGAAAGGACAGTTGAATTTCTATATTTTCTTCTCCTCAGCTCGAGCCTGAAGGCAAGGTCTAATGTCATCAGTTATGTCACTGTCAATGATTCTCCAGACTCTGACTCTTCTCTGAGCAGCCCATATTCCACTGATAACCTGAGTGCTCTCCGGGGCAATAGCGGACCACTTCTGGAGGGACCTGGCAGAACTGTGGCAGATGGCACTGGCACCCGTACCATCATTGTGCCTCCGTTGAAAACACAGCTTGGTGACTGCACCGTAGCAACACAGGGTCCAGGTGAGTAGTAGCTTCACAGAGTTGAATTTTCCCTTGATGCATGTATGCTTAATATTTTGTTATACTAGGTCAGTGGTTAAGTTTTTTTTTTTCATATACACAAATATAAGTATATACACCACACGCACATACACAATTGAACAGGAATGTTTGAATGAAGGTTTTCCTTATTTTCTTGTATCTCTGACTCTTATCTATGGAAGGTGGAGTGTGTGTGTGTGTGTGTGTGTGTGTGTGTGTGTGTGTGTATGCATGCACATGGGACAAGGCCCAGGGAAGCAGCTGGTGTGTCATGGGCTTACATCTAAAAACATAAGGAAGGGGTTGGAGAGATGGCTCAGTGATTAAGAGTACTGACTGCTCTTGTAGAGGACCTGGGTCCAATTCCCAGCACCCACATGGTGACTAACAGCAATCCCTAACTCCAGTTCCAGGGGATCTTGTGCCCTCTTCCAACCTCCGTGGGCATTGCAATGCACAGGTGCACTGACAGACATGCAGGCACAACACTCGTACACATAATAAAAATAAATAAAATATTAGAAAAAAACATAAGGATGCTCAAACAGAAGGTAGGGAGGTGGCTCAGTGGGGAAAGGGTTTCTCTGCAAGCATGAGGACCTGAGTTTGAATCCCCAAAAACCTACATGAAGTTGGGTACAGCAGTATACACTTGTAATCCCAGCACTACTATGGTGAGATGAGAGGTAGAAGCAGGAGAGTCTCCTGAAGCTGGGAGGCCAGCAGCCTGGAAGATGCGTGACAAACAACAGCAAACAAGAGAACAGGAGAGGACTGCCACCAGAGGTTATCCTTGACCTCCTCCACACACATATGCACCATTGTACATATACATGCTCACACACAGGAATGTGAACACACACGCTATATACATATACAGGTTTTATTTTTATTTATTTATGCACCATTGTACATATACATGCTCACACACAGGAATGTGAACACACACGCTATATACATATACAGGTTTTATTTTTATTTATTTATGCACCATTGTACATATACATGCTCACACACAGGAATGTGAACACACACGCTATATACATATACAGGTTTTATTTTTATTTATTTTTAATTGAATTTTTGTGTATTTCATACAGAACATCTCAGTCAATCTTAATCATCTTTATACCCCTTTCCCCACTGGCACCCTCCTATAGTCCCCTCACTGGAATTCATAGAACTGGGGAAATGGACAGCTGACCCCAATTTTAGCTGAAGAAATATTGGCAAGTGATTACTGCTGGGTGAGGAGGAGCTGATCTTCCTAAAACCAAAGAGTAGATAGACTGACTAGATAGACCTCAGTAGATGAACTTGCACTAAGGGACGTCAGGGACACTAACTTTACATAATAGGCCTTAAGACAAATGGCATAATATATGACAGTACTTAATTCAGAAATCAGTTCCCTGTAATGCGAAAACCTTTTTTGCATATGTTTATTTTTATACATTTATTTAGCTTGGATTAATATAAAAAAAGGTTTTGTTTGATGTCAGCATAGTGTTTCTGACATATTCACTACTGGTGGGGAAAAGTGAACAAGACGTATGTTGTATAGCAGGAAGAATAACAAGCAATTAGATTTAGCAAGGTGATTTGAATTTGGTGATCTAGAATAGGAAAAACTTCGTACTATGGGCTAGAAAGATGGCTTAGCAGTTAAGAGCACTTGCTACTCTTCCAGAGGACCTAAGTTCAGTTCCCAACACCCATGTCAGGCAGTTCACAGCTGCCTATAACTCCAGCACCAGGGGATCCAACACCTTCTTTCTAGCCTTGGTTAGGCGTACCCACACACACGCACATATACACACACATACACATACATACATACATACATACATACATACATACATACACATAAATAAAAATTTTTTGGAAATCTTTAAAAAATGACTGCAAGAGTGAAAATTTAGAATACAACATGCCCTTTAGACTTTCAGTCATAGCAGTGATACTTCTGCTAGTTTTATTATCACTTAATTACCTCCATCTTTTTTGCTTTTGGATACTGAGCTTAGGGTCCTTAATTCAGTTATGGTGTTAGTTGGGTAGTACTAGCTGTAGTAACAAATTCCCAATTTCTGTGGCTTAACATAATAGAAGTTTACTTTTGTGTTTTCCCAGTGCAGGTGTTTCTGGTTGCTAGGCTTTCACTGAGGTAAGGGGTAGAACCTTGGAATCCTTAGCATCCATTCAGAGCAAGGTTTGCAGGAAACAAACCTCCCTTCTTACCTTCTGGATGCAAGAAAGGCCTAGGAAGTGTAGTCTTGTCTGGTAACTGCTTCCCAGTGGCAACTTCACACCAAGGAAGGGGAGGAATGGTCACTTGTGACATAAATAAATGGTGTCTTATTATGGGTTGTACTGCAGCTTATAGGGTATAAATAGGGCTCTAATTTAAGAGTATTTGTGTTAGGTCAATGTGCTTCTCCTCCTTACAAGTAAGCAACTATCTTGAAGGCAGAGTAGAACATCCTGATGCCAGGTTTCTGAATGTAATTGTTAGGACTTCTGCCTATTCTTAGGCCCAAAGTATATAGTCCATGTTCCAGTTTTCCTCCTGGGAACACAGAAGGAAGCCAAATGTTGTCTTCAGCCATCTTTTCACTTCTTAGACTAGAAAGACAGGAAGTACCCCCCAAAATGAATCTTGCCTTCATTTAAACTTTGGACATTTAAGTATCCTAAGAATGATCAGTATCTTTCTTGGCTCCCCATTGTCACTTCTTTGCTTACTTAATTTCATCCTACATAAAACTAGAGGCTCATGGGTGGTGATTGTGTCTTATGTTTATATTTCCACTGGTTCCTTATACATAACAGGAAATTAGATAATGTTTACTTAAGTAACTGTTTGAGGATCTTTTGTGGTGCTTTGTAGCAAGACAGAAAAATGAATGATAAAGTTTTTGCTTTTCTGGTATAAAATGTAAATGAGGAAGTAAAATACACTTGAGACTATAACTCTTGCAAATTACATACAAATGTGTACTGACCAATGTGATGCTCTAAAGTTAGCTCAGTGATGCTGAACTTTAACCCCTTTTTAGGTCTCCTTAGCAGTAAGACCAAGCCAGTGGCCTCAGTGAGTGGGCAGTCATCTGGATGCTGTATCACCCCCACAGGGTACCGAGCTCAACGAGGGGGGACCAGCACAGTGCAGCCACTCAACCTTAGCCAGGTAAGCGCTAGGGGCTGCTACCTTCTGTTTGAGTTGTTACTCTCTGGAGACCCCTACTTTTGGCTAGACTGATGAATAAAGCCAAATGAAGCTCTTTTTGTGTGAAACAATCTGGTGTTCTATGGCTTGCATCGTATCTGCATGTACTGTCTCATTTGATCTATGATGTTTGGGATGTATAACCCAGGTTTGCCATCAGACTTCTCTAGGGTAGCTTGGATAGAAATGTCTGCAATTTGAAAAGAGCCTAGCATGCTTACCCATGCCTAGTTCTGCATCACCACATATGCTTCTGGGCCAGATACTCATCCTTTATCTCCAAGCCATAAATAACTCAAGCCTCACTCAAGAGATAGGGAAACTCTTTAGCCACTTAAATCAACTGATTCTAATCCTACCTGTTCCTAGAATCTGGGACTTTTACCTGCTGTGCCATTCAATCCTCTGATAGGGTGGTGGGGGCCACCTTATTCCATTTCTTTTCGTTTTTTTCTCAGCCAAAACTCTGGTGCTTGTGTGAGGGGTCAGGAACAGGGTTTAGCTATGTGTGGAGGAGAGCAGAGAGCTCATACAAATACAAATGCAAGCTTGATTAGTGTAGATGCTGTAGGTTCCATGCTCTAAAAGGGCTGTGAAGAACTTAGAGAAGAAAACAGTGACAGGGAAGAAAGGAAAATAAAAACCATGGACTCCGGGATAGGATGAGCTAAGTTACTAAGTCGGAGGAGTGGGCAACCCTGTGAAGTCAAGATTTCCCCCTCTTCTTTTCTACTTACATGCAAACTTCTGCTTTCTGAGCTGAGACAGGATCTGTTCTTACCACATTCTTTGGTAGTCTGGGAGATTCTGTGCTGAGACAGTCCAGAAATAGTACACATCAGAACCTCAACTCTTAACTTGGCCTTTGGTGCTGTGAACCAGAATGACCTCAAGATTCCTCATTCCCTTCTTCCTCCTTCCAGAACCAACAGTCATCGTCAGCTCCAACTTCCTCACAGGAGAGAAGCAACAACCCTGCTCCCCGCAGGCAGCAGGCATTTGTGGCCCCGCTCTCCCAAGCCCCCTACGCCTTCCAGCATGGCAGCCCACTACACGCGACAGGGCACCCACACTTGGCCCCAGCACCTGCTCACCTGCCAAGCCAGCCTCACCTGTATACGTATGCTGCCCCCACCTCTGCTGCTGCATTGGGTTCCACCAGCTCCATTGCTCATCTTTTCTCCCCACAGGGCTCCTCAAGGCATGCTGCAGCCTATACCACCCATCCTAGCACTCTGGTGCACCAGGTCCCTGTGAGTGTTGGGCCTAGCCTCCTCACTTCTGCCAGTGTGGCCCCTGCTCAGTACCAACACCAATTTGCCACTCAGTCCTACATTGGGTCTTCCCGTGGCTCAACAATTTACACTGGATACCCGCTGAGTCCTACCAAGATCAGCCAGTATTCTTATTTGTAGTTGATGAGCACCAGAGAGGAGGGTTCATGGGCGCTTGCCACTGGCCCCGAGTTCTTTTCGGCTGTGGTGAGCACCTCCATTATCTTCTCTTGAAACTCCTTAGCCAGCAACTCGTTCTGCAGGGGCCCACTGAAACAGAAGGCTTTTCTCTGGGGAAACCTTTCTCAGTGTTGACTGCACTGTTGTAGTTTCCCAAAGTCTGCCCTGTTTTTTAATTCTTTATTTTTGTGACAGCATTTTTGGGATTTGGAAGCACTCAGAAGCCCATCTTCTGCAGTTACCAAGGAAAAGAGATCGTTATGGTTACTCTATTAGATATAGCTTGTCTCTTTGACTTGATTTCTATAAACGCTTTGAGAAACAAGTGAAGCCTTTCTTCGCTTAACTTTGTTTTATGGTGATTGCTGGTCAGAGGAAAAATGCTCATAGAAGGATTTGAAATCTGGTAACAAATGAGAAAAGAAAAGTCAGTACTTTTTATTTGTTTAAAAATCAAGACTTCCTTGCCTTTTATTTTAAAAGCAACTTATACAAGTCTGTACTTCACTGTCTGGCATTTCTTCTCAAAAGTTTATCTTTGTTTATGGAACATTTAAACTTAAAATGTTTCAGTTTTTCTTTCGTATTACATTATACTTATTGGTCAGTTTTTATTTTATGCAAAACTGGTTAAGTATTGAGAATTTCTCAGTTGCTCCTGTGTTCATTGCAGAGTGGTATTAAAAAGGTAGCTTGCCTTTTGCTGGTAACTCAGTGAGAGAATCTGCCCACCAAGAATTCTTTTTAAATGAAGCAACGTGAATTCTTTTTTAAATTATTTTTTTAAAGTCCTCCTTCTCTTTCTGCTTCAACTTAAATTTTATTACTAAAAAAAGCCATTACAGTGGTTCTAAGTGTATGGTGGTGATTTTACTATATGCAAAATCTCTCTCTAGTATGAGATACTGGCATTAACGAGCTTTGCCTAAAGATTTCTATGAATTATGAATTTTCAATAATACACCTGTGTTTTCCTCATCTCTTCCTTCTGTTTGATGTGACTTATTTGAGGAGTTAAAGAAACTAAAACCAGTAAAGAAAGTTGTTGTGTATAGCTTTTATACTTTAAGGTAGCTTCCTTTGTATGCCAACAGCAAACTGAATGCTCTCTTATTAAGACTTATATAATAGTGCATGTAGGAACTGCAAAAAATATTTTAAAAGTTTATTACTGAATTTAAAAATATTTTAGAAGTTTTGTAATGGTGGTGTTTTAATATTTTGCATAATATGTACATACTGATTAGAAAAATATAACAAGCAATTTTTCCTGCTAACCCAAAATGTTATTTGTAATCAAATGTGTAGTAGTTACACTTGAATTCTGTGTTTAGTGTGTATCTGGTCCTCCAGTGTTATCCTGGAGACAGAATTAATGTCTTCATTGTATTTAAACCAAAATGAGCTGATACTTGTTGGAATGTATGTGAACTAATTGCAATTATATTAGAGCATATTACTGTAGTGCTGAATGAGCAGGGGCATTGCCTGCAAGGAGAGGAGACCCTTGGAATTGTTTTGCACAGGTGTGTCTGGTGAGGAGTTGTTCAATGTGTGTCTTTTCCTTCCCCCTCTCCTCCCTTCCCTTATTGTAGTGCCTTATATGATAATGTAGTGGTTAATAGAGTTTACAGTGAGCTTGCCTTAGATGGACCAGCAAGCCCCAGTGTTCACTGGGATTTATCAGAACAAGTTTAGTAGCTGTGTTGTGTAAATGCATTGTTCTCAATCTCCCTGCCAACACTGAAAAATAAAAACAGCAGCTTTTCCTCTTTACTGACACTCCTATCACATTCCATTTGGGATCACTTAGCTCAGTTCTCACAAAAGCATTTCCCCATGTGGCTCTCTCACTATGCATTGCTACCTAGCTTCTGTGAGAGTTCAAGAAGCAGGTGAGAGCAGTCAAGCCAGTGCTAAATATGCATATTTTAAAAGTGTGTGCAATCACTTAGGATGAGATTTGTTTTTTTCCTTTTCCCACGTGGTAGTCCTTCCTGCACATAGTTGACAAGACTAGTAAAAATATTTACTTGTTTTCAAAAAGCATGTAACAGATATGTTTATACCAAAGAGGTTGTTGTATTGCTTACCATGTCCCCATACTATGAGGAGGAGTTTTGTAGAGCCACTGGTGACAAGAAATTCACAGAAAGGTTTCTTAACCAGTGAAGAATGGTAAGAAACCATAGCCAGTTGAGTCACTGAGGTTTTTGAGGTTTCTTCTTAACAACTTGTATTTTCTTGGGGCCCTTCAAGCTGTGAAGTTGTCCTAGCATTCAACTCCTCCACGGATCTGGGTCAAGTCGAAGGTACTAGGGATGGGGACATTCCTGCCTATGAAGGATTTGAGGCAAGAAGATTAACCCTAAAGATACAGATGTGTGTTCCACCTGAATTGAAAATTACATTTGAGTGGTAATTCTAGGTTTGGTTCTGTATAGAGATGGTGTCAGGGAGGTGCAGGATGGAGATGGGAGATTTCATGGAACCTGTTCAGCAAGCTCTGAACCAGGTGAAACACTGAGGAGCTATCAATGAATTTGGAGTTTCTTCATCATGGGGAGTAAGGGTTTCCAGGGTGGGGCAGGTAGTCAGTACAGCCTGCCAGCAACATGGTGTTTTTTCTGTATTTTCTTTAGTCATTATATTAAACTTCGTGTTCAGCATTCAATTGGTCAAGATAACCAAGCAGTTTGTGTAGTTTGTCAGTAGTGTTACACAGTTTTCTGGTCAGTGTGTGTGATCTTTGTGCCTTGTTTTTCCCAAACACATTCTGCTTTTCTTGTTTAAACACAGTTCTGGTTTCTAATAAACATTTTTGTACTTTACCTTTCCCCTACAAAGGACAAGATTTATTGTTTTTGTAGGAATGAGATGCAGGGAAAAAACAAACCAATTCCCACCCTGTCCCCTCATCCAGTAAGCAGTTATTGAAGACAGAAGTCTTAAATTCAAGGGAAAAATAATGTCCAAGAGCTGTATCATTACCTTAATCATCTGGCTAGCACAGCGGCTTTAAAAACTGCAGAAATTGTCAGTCTGCAAACTGAGATTTCAGATTTACCAAGATAACCCACCTGTGTTTGCTGAATGTGGGCATGCTGGATGTGGCTTAAGAATCTGTCCCTGGGGCTTAAGATTGAGTGCTGGCCCTGACAGCATGGGGGAAGGAAGCTCAGTGAGTAGTGCAGTGAGCAGCTGGCCTGGGTCACCATTGCCTGACCTCAAACTGGCTTAAGGCTTTAAGCTCTCTTAGAACTTGCATTTCTAGCTTTTCCCTTTCCAGGTGAGAGGAAGTGGAAGTGGGAGGCGCTGAGTATAGCCACCTAGGCCATTCAGGACACTTGATCACTCCAGTTTCCACTAGCTCCCAGGAGATGATACCAATTGTCATGTTCAATGAAAATGCCAACATCAGTAGTGAGAGCCCCATTTCAAACAGTTCTGGTCATTTTGAGCCTACTTTTGTGATTGCTCATCCATCGTCCCCCACTAGAGGGACTAAGCTTGACTGTCATTAGCCAGGCAAGCACAGTAATGTGTGTTTTATTCGGCATTATTATGCAGAAATCTACTAGTTGAGATGGTTTGTTTTAGGATAGGAAATGAAATTGCCTCTTGGTGACAGGAACGCCTGAGCCTGCTTCCAATTTTGACTTTTTTTTTTTTAACTGATGGATGGTGCAGCATGTCTACATGATTGTTTGTTGCTAAACTTTATATAAATGTGTGGTTTCAATTCAGCTTGAAAAATCTCACTACATGTAGCAGTACATTATATGTACATTATATGTAATGTTAGTATTTCTGCTTTGAATCCGTGATATTGCAATGGAATTCCTCTTTATTAAATGTATTTGATATGCTAGTTATTGTGTGTGATTTAAACCTTTTTTGCTTTCTCCCTTTTCTGGTTGTGTGCTTCATTTTACAACAAGCTTCTAGAAACAGGTAGTTTCTGAATTACTGAGCTATGTTTGTAATGCAGGTGTACTTAGGGAGTATGTAAAATAATCATTTTAACAAAAGAAATAGCTATTTAAAATTTAATACTAACTATGGGAAAAGGGTCCATTATGTAAAACATAGTTTATCTTTGGAGTCAATGTTTGTCTGTCTTTGGTTTTACAAAGTAGCTTGTATTTTCAGTATTTTCTACATAATATGGTAAAAAGTAGAGCAATTGCAATGCATCAATAAAATGGGTAAATTTTCTGACTGTGACTGTTTTTACTTTTTGCTTTAGGGGGTATTAAAGGGATCAATAAATGACATCTTTGGGGTGGCTAAACATTCCATTTGGATATCAGTGAAACATTATTACATTAGAATATCTTTACGCAAATCTCCATAATAGAAATGAATGGGGTTTGGTAGGAAATATTTCCCAAGAATAAAGTTCCTAGGGGAGTGGCCCTCTTGAATCTGATCCTCTGAAAAGAGCTTGAAGACTTCTGAGATAAGCTAATTGAACTCCTAGCATGTTTCCTAGCATGTTTCACCAAACATCTAAAGCAGCACAGTGAAAAATAAAGTGCAGAAAGAGGTTCGCTGTAAGAGTTATCTCCTCTAGGCTGGGCGTGGTGGCACATGCCTTTAATCCCAGCACTTGGGAGGCAGAGGCAGGCGGATCTCTGTGAGTTCAAGGCCAGCCTGATCTCCATAGTGAATCCAGGTCATCTCCATAGCGAATCCAGGTCAGCTGGGGCTACAGGGAGACCCTGTCTCAAAAAAAACAAAAAAAAAGTTATTTCCTCTTTAAAGAAGGAGAACTTGGGGCTGCAGAGAAGGCTAAGCAGTTAAGAACACCTGCTGCTTTTATGGAAGACGAAGTTCAAAAGTTCCCAATACCCACATTGAGCAGCTCACTACACCCTATAACTCTAGCCTTGGGATCTGACACTCTGTGGGAACACTCAGTGCACATGTGTATAGCCACCCCCTTTCCCATATACGTAAATAAATAAAACAAACCTTTAAAAACAGAAAGGAAAATGTTTGATCAAATTTCTCTCGATTCTAAGTGAATAAAGGTTCTCCTGATAAAGAAATAGGGACTTGTCTAGATTAATCACTGCAGGACCCTGAGTAAATGGTGTTTGTTTGACTTCTTTTGACAGATGTGTTCCAGGCTAAATCTACTTTGCAGTGGTCAGTTAACTTACTTTGAGCTTCTGCAGCCTTAGTTGGGATATAGAAATGAGCAACACTTAGAAATACCCTACTGAGGGGCTGGTGAGATGGCCCAGCAGTTAAGAGCACTGACTGGTCTTGCAGAAGACCTGGGTTCGAATCCCAGCACCCACATGGCAACTAACAACTGTCCGTAACTCCAGTTCCAGGGGATCCAACACCCTCTTCTGACCTCCAAGGGCATTGCATGACATGGATGCACTTACACATGCAATACACTCATGCACACACAATAAAAAATAAAAAAAAGAAATACACTACTTAACCCTAAAAGAGAGAAATTAGTAGTCTCTTCTCATCCAGTGGTTGGAAAGTTCAGAATATATTTATTTTGGTTTAGACTACAACAGACATTTTTCAGAAACATCCCCCTACACACACAAGTCCATGAGTGTAAATTGGCGGAAATCTGCTGGTCTCTCCACCATTTGGGTAAGAGAACATACCTGGAAGGCCACGTTGACTAGCTCTGCTCTCACTGCCTGCTCATTTAAAGTTCATTTACTAACTTCTCAGTGACCTCAGGTTTTCTTGTTGATTTTTCTGTTATATTCCCTTCCTTGGACTAAATCAGAGAGATCAGCATAGCCTCCCCCCCCCCCCCCCCC